GTCCGCAGACAAGTCTCGGACAAAAGCCCGAGATCCCCAGACACGGAACGCAGACGCATCGCCAACCTTCCCCGTCCACAACAGAGTGGGGGAGGTCCCCGGCATGGAGACCCGGGGCTGAAGGTTGATCTGATGCGCCGCGTACTGAACCGCAAACGGCCACAGAAAATGGGGAGCAGCCGCATGGATCATGGACGTACGAGCGACATCCATGACCATGCCAATGCGGCGCTCAGCAATCCCATTTTGCTGCGGAGAGGCCGGAAGCGTGAACGTCTGGCGGATGCCCCTCGCACGACAGAAGGCTCGCAGAAGGTCGGAGGAAAACTCACCACCTCTGTCTGAGTGCAGACGCAAAACAGGAAAGTCCGAGCGGAAACTCTTCCTGAGCTGGAGACGAGCAGCGCGGATCCAGTCGATCAACACCTCAGTGACCTCATCCTTGCGGCGCAAGGGGAAGACCGTGGTGTAACGCGAGTAGTCGTCAACTACCAGCAGGAAGTAGCGCTCGTGACCCTGTCCACGGACGCGGGCTGGGCCCCACACGTCCATGTGAAGAGTCTGCAGCGGAGCCTCTGTCGGCGGAAACTCGGAGGAGTGAGGAGCGGCGCGCTGCCGCCCCTCGACGCAGGGAACGCAGGTAGGGGCAGGCCCCGGGGGGAGGGGAGGGAGCGACCGGGGGAGACCAGAGACCAGGACACGAGAGGCCATGCCTCGGAGACGAGGCAGGGAGGGGTGACCAAGACGGTGGTGCCAGAGAAGAGTCTCGTGGGACAGGAGGCGACACGAGCAGGGGGCAGACTCAGGACCAGACCGAGACGCCGCAGCAAACACCTGACCCGACGCAGCTACCCGACCAGGCACAGCAACCGGAGGAGACTCAGTAGTGAGGGTGTACAGGCTCGACCCCGGCCGACGGGTAAACGTGGCCAAGTGTCGGCCCGTGTCTGCACACGTGCAGTGGGTCACCCGCTGACGCGCAGGGGTGAACTGGTCAACCCCCCCATCCTGTAGGTCAGCACCTGCCACCAAGTTCGTAGAGAACGAGGGGAGGTAAAGACCCGACAGGGAGCCAGACGGGACCGCTGGACACGGTAGTACAGTGGAGTAGTGGGCAAGAACAGGACCCCCAGAGGGGTCTGCCAGGGAGACCGCAACCGGCCGACTGAGCGGCGTGAGAGTGGTGCGGTCTCGAAAGAAGGAGCGGGAAGCACCCGAGTCAAGGGTGAAAGTGTGCGACGCCGGAGCAGACGTGGTACCTGAGAGAGCAAACTCACCAGCACCTGGAGCAGCAGACTCACCAGCACCTGGAGCAGCAGACTCACCAGCACCTGGAGCAGCAGACTCACTAGCATCCGGAGCAGCTGACTCACTAGCACCTAGAGCAGCAGCTGCACCGCCCGGGTCGGGCGGAGCACTCAGGGAACAGTCACCGACATCACTAGTAGACAATGCATACATGGCAGTGAGGATAGCATCAAAGTCAAGAGCATAGATATCTACCCTCTGCCGGAGCAGCTCCACCCAGTCGGGGAGCTCAGCCGCGTCGCCAAACTCCGTACGCCAGGCGTCGCTCAGACTGGCGAAGCAGCGGGACTCTGTGTGACCAAACGTCCCGCAAGGCTGGCCAGTCCGAGCACCAGTGCGAATGACGTACGGGCAGCGAGCAGAACCCCGTGACCCCCCCCCCCCGCTGAAAGTACCACTCATGAAGCTGCGGGGGCGAGGGGACCGTGCGTACACGACGCTGCAGCTGCACCTGGCCACTACAAGAAGCCCCGAAACTACTCACGCCAGAACGACTCCCACGACGGCCACCCCGACAACCCCAACTAGCATTCCACTGATGAAGCTGTGGGGGCGGGAGAGGCTCACGTGGACGGCGCTGGAGCTGCATCTGGCCACGCCAGGAGCAGCAGTGGCAGTAGGAAGGGTAGGAGCCGTAGGAGCAGCACGAGCAGGAGTAGCGGCAGTAGCAGCAGGAGCAGCAGTAGCAGCAGTAGCAGCAGGAGCAGGAGAAAGCACAGTAGCCGTAGGAGCAGCACGAGCAGCAGTAGCAGGAGAAAGAGCAGTAGCAGCAGGAGCAGTAGTAACAGCAGTACGGGCAGGACAGTGCTCACCAGTGGCAAGAAGGGCCGGCGTACAACGGCGGCAATGGTGAGGCCGGCACCACTGTAGGGCGAGGGCTCCGCGGCAGCTGCAGGTGGCGGCTGCTCCAGGGGCGGCTGCTCCAGGGGCCAGGGGCGGCTGCTCCAGGGGCGGCTGCTGCAGGGGCCAGGGGCGGCTGCTGCAGGGGCCAGGGGCGGCTGCTGCAGGGGCCAGGGGCGGCTGCTGCAGGGGCGGCTGCTCCAGGGGCGGCTGCTGCAGGGGCGGCTGCTCCAGGGGCGGCTGCTGCAGGGGCCAGGGGCGGCTGCTGCAGGGGCGGCTGCTCCAGGGGCCAGGGGCGGCTGCTGCAGGGGCGGCTGCCCGAAAGGCCAGGGGCAGGGGCGGCTGCTGCAGGGGCAGCTGCTCCAGTGGCAAGGGGCAGCAGGTGTAGGGGCGGCTGCTCCAGGGACCAGGGGCGGCTGCTGCAGGGGCGGCTGCTGCAGGGGCGGCTGCTGCAGGGGCGGCTGCTGCAGGGGCCAGGGGCGGCTGCTCCAGGGGCCAGGGGCGGCTGCTGCAGGGGCGGCTGCCCGAAGGGCCAGGGGCAGGGGCAGCTGCTCCAGTGGCAAGGGGCAGCAGGTGCAGGGGCGGCTGCTCCAGGGACCAGGGGCAGCTGCTGCAGGGGCGGCTGCCCCAGGAGCCAGGGGCAGGGGCGGCAGCGGCTGTCTCAGCGGCAGTGGCGGCGGTCGTCACGGCAACAGCTGCAGCGGCAACCAGCCGCGGCGGAAGCTGCAGCGGCAGGAAGTGCGACGGCCGCTGCTGCGGAGGCGGCTACGGTGGGGCGACGAAGCGGCAGGGCGGCAGAGCCGCGGAGGGGCCGCGTAGGGGGCCGCGAAGGGGCAGCGGAGAGCCGCGGACGGCCGCGAAAGGGCCGCGCGAGGGCCACAAAAGGGCCGCGCGAGGGCCGCGAAGGGCCACGAAAGGGCCACGCGAGAGCCGCGCGAGGGCCGCGGGGCGACGCGACGAGCGTAGCGCGCGCGGGGCAGAGCAGGCAGGGCAGCGCGCGAAAAAAAGGAAAATGCGAGCTGCAGCAGTGGCGCGCGGCCAGCAGGGGCAGCGCGACGCGTAGTAGGGTAGGGCGGGCGCGGGGTAATGCGGTAACCGCAGGTGATTTGTAAGGTGGGCCCAAACAGAACAGGTACTAAGGTCCTAAGGACCTCCTGCTCTATACCATGTTAGAATCTAAGGCAAGGATGATGAGATTAGGTCAAGGTGGGGTACAAGAGTAGAGTGTCGAGAGAAATGTGTGTACCCCCTAAGGCTATCCCCAATATAGCCTAGATATAATATGCATATGTTTTGACACAATGTTAGGAAGCTTGAACAGGGCGAGCAACAAGACGGCCAAGATTTTGTGTGCGAGGGCCAAACTCAACCGAGATTATGAAGAAGGTTGAACCAATTTGGGTCGTCTTGGCCCTCGAGTTTTAAAACATGGACAATTTGGGCCGCCGGCTTTAAAGCCCAAGGTCAGCATGGTTTTTGCAACAGTGATGCGAGGGCTTTAATCGTGTTCGCGAAAGGCATAAAAAATACATTTCGGGAACTGAACAGGTGCGAAAGCGAAACCAGGCAGCGACGAGTTTTAGCATTCGTCACCCAGCCGTGCGACACTGCACCACAATTGTTGGTGCTTGGAGGGGGTTAGAAAGCACCTAACTTGGCTTAGAAAGCACCTACCTTGGCTTAGAAAGCACCTAACTTGGCTTAGAAAGCACCCACCTTGGCTTAGAAAGCACCTAACTTGGCTTAGAAAGCACCTAACTTGGCTTAGAAAGCACCTAACTTGGCTTAGAAAGCGAAGCCACATGCGTAGATTGGTTTGAAAATGCACGCGACTCGTCGTCGGCCATTCTCCCGTCAATGTCGCACACTTCCCTCCATCGCCATAGCGCACTCCCCCCCATCGCCTTCGCGCACTCCCCCCGTCTCCTTCGCACACTCCCTGCCCGTCGACTTCGCGCACTCTCGTCCCGACGCCTTCGCGCAATCTCTCCCGTCGCCTTCGCGCACTCCCCTCCCGTCTTCGCGCACTCCCCTCCCGTCGCCTTCGCGCACACCCGTCCCGTCGCCTTCGCGCACTCCCCTCCCGTCACCTTCGCACTCTCCCTGCCCGTCGCCTTCGCGCACTCCCCTCCCGTCGCCTTCGCGCACTCCCCTGCGGTTTGGAATTCCGGTTAGCTAACCTAGCTAGCGTCAACCTTTTCCGGAACGCAGTGATGTTTGCTGGCTGATGTTGTTTGATTCCAACTGTCGTCTCGAATCAGACTGTGTTATTTTCAACCCCCCACGTCTGCCTCCGCCTTCCCTGTGAGCGACTTCAAGGGAATTCTAAAAAATTCCCCCATGTCTCCCTCTAGCTTCCTTGCCTGCATTTGCCTGCAACGATCCCCACCCCGTTTTCAACCAGTTTTCTCTGTTCCTCTCTCTCCGTCACTCTTTCCCCCTCCCTCACTCTCCATTCCTCTCTCTACGTCACTCTCTCTCTCTCTGTCCCTCTTTCCCCGTCCCTCACTCTCAATCCTTTGCTCTCCATCCCTCTCTCTCCGTCCCTCTCTCTCCGTCCCTCTCTCTCCTTTCCCTCTCTCTCCGTCAATGTCGCACACTTCCCTCCATCGCCATAGCGCACTCCCCCCCATCGCCTTCGCGCACTCCCCTCCCGCCTTCGCACACTCCCTGCCCGTCGCCTCGAAAGAGGATGATCACTCCCTCCCGTGGCCCACGCTTCCTTCCCGACGCACGATCACGCTCCCTCTCCTCCCGTCTCCTTCGCTCGACGCCTCTTTCGCCCCTCCTCACTCTCTTCCGTCGCCCACGCTCACTCCCCTCCCGTCGCCCATGCTCACTCCCCTTACGTCATGTACGCGCACACCCATCCGTCACTACTAACGCTCCCTCTCTCCAGTCGCCCACGCTCCCTCCCCTCTAACAAGAATGGGACACCCCGCGCCTTGCACCTCCCCTTCCTCCTGCTACGCCACACCCCACACTCTCGTCTCCCCATCCCTCATCTCCCCTTCCCTCGTCTCCCCATCCCTCATCTCCCCTTCCCTCGTCTCCCCATCCCTCATCTCCCCTTCCCTCGTCTCCCCATCCCTCATCTCCCCTTCCCTCGTCTCCCCATCCCTCATCTCCCCTTCCCTCGTCTCCCCATCCCTCATCTCCCCTTCCCTCGTCTCCCCATCCCTCATCTCCCCTTCCCTCGTCTCCCCATCCCTCATCTCCCCTTCCCTCGTCTCCCCATCCCTCATCTCCCCTTCCCTCGTCTCCCCATCCCTCATCTCCCCTTCCCTCGTCTCCCCATCCCTCATCTCCCCTTCCCTCGTCTCCCCATCCCTCATCTCCCCTTCCCTCGTCTCCCCATCCCTCATCTCCCCTTCCCTCGTCTCCCCATCCCTCATCTCCCCTTCCCTCGTCTCCCCATCCCTCATCTCCCCTTCCCTCGTCTCCCCATCCCTCATCTCCCCTTCCCTCGTCTCCCCATCCCCCTCATCTCCCCTTCCCTCGTCTCCCCATCCCTCATCTCCCCTTCCCTCGTCTCCCCATCCCTCATCTCCCCTTCCCTCGTCTCCCCATCCCTCATCTCCCCTTCCCTCGTCTCCCCATCCCTCATCTCCCCTTCCCTCGTCTCCCCATCCCTCATCTCCCCTTCCCTCGTCTCCCCATCCCTCATCTCCCCTTCCCTCGTCTCCCCATCCCTCATCTCCCCTTCCCTCGTCTCCCCATCCCTCATCTCCCCTTCCCTCGTCTCCCCATCCCTCATCTCCCCTTCCCTCGTCTCCCCATCCCTCATCTCCCCTTCCCTCGTCTCCCCATCCCTCATCTCCCCTTCCCTCGTCTCCCCATCCCTCATCTCCCCTTCCCTCGTCTCCCCATCCCTCATCTCCCCTTCCCTCGTCTCCCCATCCCTCATCTCCCCTTCCCTCGTCTCCCCATCCCTCATCTCCCCTTCCCTCGTCTCCCCATCCCTCATCTCCCCTTCCCTCGTCTCCCCATCCCTCATCTCCCCTTCCCTCGTCTCCCCATCCCTCATCTCCCCTTCCCTCGTCTCCCCATCCCTCATCTCCCCTTCCCTCGTCTCCCCATCCCTCATCTCCCCTTCCCTCGTCTCCCCATCCCTCATCTCCCCTTCCCTCGTCTCCCCATCCCTCATCTCCCCTTCCCTCGTCTCCCCATCCCTCATCTCCCCTTCCCTCGTCTCCCCATCCCTCATCTCCCCTTCCCTCGTCTCCCCATCCCTCATCTCCCCTTCCCTCGTCTCCCCATCCCTCATCTCCCCTTCCCGCATCTCCCCTTCCCTCATCTCTCCATCCCTCGTCTCCCCATCCCTCATCTCCTCATGCCTCCCCACCCCATCCCTCACCTCCCCATCTCTCACCTCCCTATGCCTCACCTCTCCATCGCTCATCCATCCATCCCTCATCTCCCCATGCCTCACCCCATCTCCGCCGCACCCCGTGGCATCGTCACACGTCGCCATTTCCCACCTCTTCCTACTTCCCATCCCCCTCTTCCGCCCCCTTCCTACCCCCTTCTCTCAATCCCTTCATCTCGCCCTGCCATCCTACTTCCCATCCCCCTTTCCTCGTTTCCCCAGACCTCCTTTCTATCCCGTCATTCCCTCTCCCTCCGTTCCCCATCCTTCCATTCTCCATGCCTACTTTCACCATTCCACCATACCCCAACCCACGACCTTCCCGTCATCTCCACCCGGGTACAACCTAAATCTCCGACTCACTCAATCTCCTCCTCACCCCATCTCTTCCCAAACTCATCTCCTCCTAACCCCATCTCCTCCTATACACATCCGCTTCTTTCCCCTTCCCTCGTCACCGCGTCCCCTCCTCTCCCCATCCCCTCCTCTCCCCCCCATCCCGTCCCCTCCCGTCCTCTCCCCATCTGCCCATCCCACCTCACCACTTCCCTCCTCTTCCCATCCATCCTCTCCTCATCCCTCCCCATCCGTCCATTCCCCATCCGATCCTCTCACCCTCCCCTCCAGGTGTTTCCCACACCGCCCTTGGCCCAGCAGCACCTCTTCATCCCTTGTGCTTTTCTGCACCAGGGAGCTACTTGGGGCGCTGTGGGCGGATGGCGGTGGGCAGAGTCACGCAGCAGAGGCAGACGTGGTGCTGCTTGTCCTCCCCTTCCCCCGTCCTCCCATCCTCTCTTCCTCCCTTCATCACTTCCTCCCTTCATCAGTTCTTCCCTTCCTGCATTCCTCCCTTATGCCCTCAATCACATTCTTCATCCTTTCTCCCATCCTTTTTTTCCTCCCTGCATCCATTCATCTGTTCCACCCTTCATCCATCCATCCTTCCCTTCCTCTGTCCCTCTCTTCCTCTTCGTGTTGCTTCCTTGTCAGTTATTCTTTTGTATGCTTACCGGCTAGAATGTTGGTTGTTTGATAGTACCACTAAGTATGATACATGGCCATGGGAATGTTGTATGTATATTATGACTACATTTTGATCCATGGAGTAGTGTGACCATTGACCACCCACGAAGTGCAACAATCTAGTAAAAAGGAACCAATTTACTCAATAATACCGTATGTCTTTTCCCACTCTTGTCTGCATACACAGCAGCAAAAAAGCAGGACTTGTGGGTCCCTCCCTACACATGGTGCTGGGCACCTGTACAGAATGAGCAGGAAAAAACAGAGTGTAGGGGAGACAGTGAGCAGGGGGGAAAGAGAGATAGGAGGGGGGAAGAGAGTGAGAAGGGGGGAAAGGGAGTGAGCAGGGGGAAAGAGGGTGGGCATGGGGGACGGGAGTGAACAGGGGGGAACAGAATGAGCAGGGGGAACAGAATGAGCAAGGGGAAAGAGAATGAGCAGCGGGGAAGAGAATGAGCATTGGGGAAAGAGACTTCGCAGGGGGAAAGAGAATGAGCAATCGTAGGATCTTCTTTCCAGCAGGGAAAACCGGTTTCGCCTCGGGGCGGATCCAATCGTAGGATCTTCTTTCCAGCAGCTGGGGGGGTGGGGAGTGGGGTGTGGGAGAACAAGGGAGTGAGTGGGAGAGCAAGGGAATGAGCATGGCAGGAAGGATAGTGCACAGGTGTGGTATGGGTGGCAAGCATGTTGTTTTGAAGGATGGGGACAGCACGTGGATAGAGTGCCTGGGTCCGGAACCGACATTGCAGCCGAGTGCCATCCGGGCAGCGAATGGCAACGCGACAGCTGGCTGGAATGCGCACTACGGGCTCCTCTGGTAACTCAACCTCCTCAGCCGCTGCCCCTCCTGCCCACGCCCCTAGTCCACCTTCCCACCTTGCTCCCCACCTTGCCCACCTTCCCACCTCGGTCCCCTCTTCCTCTATGTGCCCCCCCATGGAAGCCGCCAGAGCCAGGCGTTTTGGCTCCTCCTCGTCCTCCTCACAGCTCCCCACCGCCCCCAACCCCGCTCCCACTCCCATCTGTGGGCACGTCACACAGCTTCTTGGGCGGCCGCACCTCCCCACCTGCACCGGGTGCGCCTCCCACGGGGTCACGGTCGATGAATGGCATCAGGTCCTGGGTGGGCGTGCACACGCACACACATACTGTCAACGCAAGCACGCACGCAGGCATGCACGGAGGCAGAAAGGCACGCACACAGATCAAACGCAGGCAGACATGGAGGAAGCAGGGAGGGGGATGGGGGGAAGCAGAGAAGGGGACACGGGGAAGCAGGGAAGGGGATGGGGGAATATAAGGGAAGGGGATGGGGGGAAGCAGGGAAGGGGATGGGGGGAAGCAGGGAAGGGGACACGGGGAAGCAGGGAAGGGGATGGGGGAATATAAGGGAAGGGGATGGGGGGAAGCAGGGAAGGGGATGGGGGGAAGCAGGGAAGGGGATGGGGGGAAGCAGGGAAGGGGACACGGGGAAGCAGGGAAGGGGATGGGGGCGTGCACACGCACACACATATTGTTAACGCAAGCACGCACGCAGGCATGCATGGAGGCAGAAAGGCACGCACACAGATCAAACGCAGGCAGATATGCAGTCAGGCAAAGGGACACGGGGAAGCAGGGAAGGGGATGGGGGGAAGAAGGGAAGGGGATGGGGAGCAGAAGGGAAAGGGACACGGGGAAGCAGGGAAGGGGATGGGGGAAAGAAGGGAAGCGTATGGGGGGGAGCAGGGAAAGGGACACGGGAAGCAGGGAAGAGGATGGGGGAATACAAGGGAAGGGGATGGGGGGAAGAAGGGAATAGGGGATGGGGGGGAGCAGGGAAAGGGACATGGGAAAGCAGGGAGGGGGATGGGGGGAAGCAGAGAAGGGGACACGGGGAAGCAGGGAAGGGGATGGGGGAATATAAGGGAAGGGGATGGGGGAAGAAGGGAAGGGGAGGGGGGGAAGCAGGGAAGGGGACACGGGGAAGCAGGGAAGGGGATGGGGGGAAGAAGGGAAGGGGATGTGGGGAAGCAGGGAACGGGATGGGGGGAAGCAGGGAACGGGATGGGGGAAGCAGGGGAGGGATGGGGGGAAGCAGGGGAAGGGATGGGGGGAAGCAGGGAAGGGGATGGGGGGAAGCAGGGAAGGGGATGGGGGGAAGCAGGGAAGGGGATGGGGGGAAGCAGGGAAGGGGATGGGGGGAAGCAGGAAAGGGTATCAAGTGTGCGCGATGAGAAGGGAGACGGGAGGGATGGCGAGGGCGACGGGGAGAGAGGAAGACGGGGATTTCGAGAGGACGAGCTGGAGGAATGGCGACGAGACGAAGGGAAGGCTACGGGCGGAAGGGAGAGCGACGCGCGGAAGGGAGAGCGACGGGCGGAAGGGTGGGCGACGCGCAGAAGGGAGGGCGACGGGCGGAAGGGAGGGCGACGGGCGGAAGGGAGGGTGACGCGAGCGACGATCGGATGTGAGGACGCGTGGAAGGTAGAGCGACGAGCGGATGGGAGGGCGACGGGCGAAAGGTAGAGCAACGAGCAGGGCGACGCGCAGAAGGGAGGGCGGCGAATGGAAGGGAGCGACGGTTGGAAGCGTGGGCGACGAACAGATGGGAGCGCGATCGTGGACGACGCGAGGAAACGAGTAACGGGAGCCAAAGAACTGAAAGCGTCGCGGGCTAGCGAGGGCGAATGGGGGAACCTAAGCGACCAGAAACCTAGCTCTAGACCATGGAGAATATAGCAGGAGCATCGCGCGGTGTTCGTACATGAGTTGTGTGCAAAAACGGAGTGTTTTCTTGGGCGTGAATGACGGGTGAACGATGTCTAGTATGCTTGACTTTTAGTACAAGATGGTTTTCAAGTTCAGTTCAAGTGAACAGTGCTGCCTTGCCAGCTGACCCTCTCCTCGATATGACTTTGAGTGTCGCTGGCCAATCACAGATCACTATCGTGAGAGATGCTCCACTTCGGGTGGTAACATGGTTTTTGGCGAATTCATATTCAGGAATCTTGAACTTGAAAAGAGCCATGTGGAACTCGGGCTTTAACAGATAAGTTCTCTTGAAGAGTACAGTCTTTTTTTCCTCCACTCATCGCACACAGAAAATTGTTGCTGTCGTTGGCAAGCAGATCTCTGCCATCAAGGCAAGAGCTGTGTCCACGTGGTAACCCGCTTGCGTGGACCAACCTCACTCGCCCATGGCCACGTCGTGCAATAACACTACGCTCGACAGAATGGGCATGGGATGGGGATCCACATTTTTTGGAATGTTCAACGGGCACTGATTGAGCGCTCTTCGTGGTGTGGTTATCGCAAAACATTTCTCTACAAGCTCATCCACGTGGCTTTCCCGCATACGGTAAGAACTCCAAGCTGTAACCAGCCCGTCAGGAATATCAACCCCTCGGGCATGCATGTCCCAACCCAAGCTCTTCTTGATGCCTTGCCCACTCCGCCCTCGCCACGCCACATCTCCCCCTCCAACCCCACCACAGTCGCGCAAGCAAAGCATTTGTACAGTACTTTCCCTTTCAGCCCCATTTCCCCCAGTCCCCCCCCCGCAATCCCCCGTTCCGCCCGTTTCTCCCCTCCCCAACCTGTCGAGCGCGACTTCCGCCGTCACACACTCGCTAAGGGCGTGTAAGATCCCCGTGCACACCGATTCCGCCATCAATAATTGGTGGCCGTTGCGAGAGTTACCATGTCGCGAAACTCGCCAATTTCGACCATCAAATTTGTGATTTGGTGGCCGAAAAACAAGTCGACTTTTTTCCCGACACATGGTCGACTTCAAATCGGCCATGTTTTCGACAGCGGCTGGCTACAGTGAATAACGACATCGCATTTGACGCTACAGTAGAATTACGACATCGCGTACATGTGTGCGACGCCGTCGCACCGAGTCGTCAAAAAGAACAAAACGTTTTCTTCCACCCTCGTAACAGCGGCCAGCAAATCCGACACAAAACGTGTCAGATTTGGAGGCCACACTGATTTGGCCGATATTTCGTCGACCTGGTGACGACCACTCTGTCGACCTTGGCGAAGGTTTTGACGACCAAATGGTCGACAAAATTCAGCCAAAACGTGTGCACGGGGATCTTACACGCTCTAACATTCTGTCACCACCACTGCTCGCACAGCCACCGTCGCATTCACGGCATCGCACGCAGCCCACATTTCCCTTCCACTCGTCCGCCCTCTTGCTTTTCACTTCCTAGCGTACATTTGTTCCGTTCACTCCGTTCTTACCGAAATTCAAGCGACTGCTGCATTGACAGAAGCCAGGCTCCGGTTCCTCGCAGCGAAACTTACTCTGCGAATTGGCTTCTTCGGGTCGGGCGCACTCACTCTCGGAGTAATTATCCATTTCTTCCTAGAACACAGGGTTGCACGATGCTTGTAGACCTTTCTCTGGGAGGCGGCAATTTCGTGGTTTCCTCCCATCCCTCGTCTTTCACTCCAAAGCTTTCCCCAAGATTCCTTGAATCCTCGGAGCGCGTTATCGCCGGCCGACAAGCATCCGAGCGGTTGCAAGTCCGCAACAGAGCTACCACTTCCGCGCGCGCGCAAGCACTTTCCGCGACTTTCCCCGCGTCGATTTCTCAAGCGCTCGGCAGAGCGGCAACCACCCACGCCGCGCGCGCCTCTGGCGCTTCTTGGATTCGCGACGCCTCTAGCGTCGCCACGAGCCGTTCTGCCCGATCAATTCCGGACGGGTCGTATGCATCCCGCGCGGGGTCCGATTTCCGAACGAGCGTGTTTCGCGGGGAAGGCGGCAGCAGCAGCAGCAGCGGCAACGGCGGCGGGCGGTTTAACCCGCGCGACGATGACCTCGTGGAGCTTCCGCTGTTTCCGCTGCCGCTCGTGCTCTTCCCCGGAACTGCGCTCCCGCTGCAGATCTTCGAGTTCCGCTATCGCATTATGATGCAAACGCTGCTCCAAACCGACATGCGCTTCGGTATAATCTACACCGGTAAAGACGCTGCAACGGCCGCCGCCGTCGGCTGCGTCGGTCAGGTGATCCGGCATGAGAGACTCCCCGACAACCGCTTCTTTCTAATCTGTCGCGGTGAAGAGCGGTTCCGCGTGGTGGATATCGTTCGCAGCCGGCCGTACCTAGTCGGCCGCGTGCGGTGGCTGGAGGACAAGCCGTCAGAACAGCCGGTCGACATTGATTCGCTCGCAAACGAGGTCGCGAGCATCATGCATGACGTCATCCGGATGTCGAATAAGATGCGCGGAAGCGACGAGGAAGTTCCGGATCTGCGCAAATCGTCCTTTCCGACGCCGTTCTCCTTCTGGGTCGCGTCGACGTTCGAAGGCGCGCCGGCGGAGCAGCAAGCGCTGTTGGAATTAGAAGACACGGCGGAGCGGCTCCAGCGTGAGAAGGAGACGCTAAGAAGCACGCTTAATTATCTCACCGCCGCGTCGGCTGTCAAGGACGTTTTCTCGTCTCAGTCCGATAAGTGAAGGGCTGGATGGGATGCGATTGGTGGGGAGGGGAGGGGAGGGGAGGAGCGGGGAGTGTGCGACACGTGGCGGCATACCTGGCAAGTGTTCGTCTTGTGTGAAACTATTCCTCTCGGCCCCTCTATTCTCACATTATTTCGCTGTTGGAACATATTTTTTTCTTATATGTGACGGTGACGCGTAACATGCTCCCATACTCTCCGCAAGCATACCCTTCCCAACTCCCTCCAACTCCCTTCCATCCCCCCTTCCCCCCCGCCCCCGTCCTCCTCTACTTACCTCCCCGTCGCCTCCATTGAAAATCACACATCGAACTGACACATTGCTCTCCTCAAACCTCAGAGAAGGAACCAGCGATGTTATGCTTGCTGAAACCGGAAGCATGCGTTTTCCTCAGATTCCGGTTCAAAATGTCTCCGCCGGTCCAGGGCGTGTCTCCAAGACTAGTTACCACAGCTGGTTACCAGGAGTCTAGGACGGTTATCTTGTAACCAGGTGGCAGATTCATGCAGGGATTTAGTGCGCAGAGTGTGCTGCTGCTTTTGCCCACCTCTACGCAATTCAGCCCAGCGTCTCTTGATCCCCCCCTGAGCTTCCTCTCTGGCCTCAATTCCCATCCTTCAGCTTTCCGATCCCACCTCCCACCCTTTTTTGCCTGCCCCTCACACTCCAAGCTTCTTGCCCTTCCCTCCATCTCTTGCTCCCTCCCCCCCCCCCTCCCTCCCTCCACCCCTCCCTCCCTCCCTCCCTCCCTCCCTCCCTCCCTCCCTCCCTCCCTCCCTCCCTCCCTCCCTCCCTCCCTCCCTCCCTCCTCCCCCTCTCCCTCCCTCCCTCCCTCCCTCCCTCCCTCCCTCCCCCCCCCTCCCCCCCCCCCCTCCCCCCCTCTCCCCCCCTCCCTCCTCCCTCCCTCCCTCCCTCCCTCCCCCCTCCCTCCCTCCCTCCCTCCCCCCTTCCCTCCCTCCCTCCCTCCCCCCTCCCTCCCTCCCTCCCTCCCTCCCTCCCTCCTCCCTCCCTCCCTCCCTCCCTCCCTCCCTCCCTCCCTCCCTCCCTCCCTCCCTCCCTCCCCCCCCTCCCCCCCTCTCTCCCCCCCTCCCTCCCTCCCTCCCCCCCTCCCTCCCTCCCTCCCTTCCCCCCTTCCCTCCCTCCCTTCCCCCCTCCCTCCCTCCCTCCCTCCCTCCCCCTCCCTCCCTCCCTCCCTCCCCTCCCCCTCCCTCCCTCCCTCCCTCCCTCCCTCCCTCCCTCCCTCCCTCCCTCCCTCCCTCCCTCCCTCCCTCCCTCCCTCCCTCTCTCCCTCCCTCCCTTCCTCCCTCCAACCCCCCCCCTCCCTCCCTCCCACCCCCCACTCCCTCCCTCCCACCCCCCACTCCCTCCCTCCCACCCCCCCACTCCCTCCCTCCCACCCCCCCCTCCCTCCCTCCCTCCCACCGCCCTACCCTCCCTCTCTCCCTGTCTCTCCCTGTCTCTCCCTCTCTCTCTCTCTCTCTCTCTCTCCCTCTCTCTCTCTCTCTCTCTCTCCCTCTCTCTCTCTCTCTCTCTCTCTCTCTCTCTCTCTCTCTCTCTCTCTCTCTCTCTCTCTCTCACTCTTTCTCTCTCGCCCACGTCCACTCTCTCCCTCTTCCTCACCCTCTCATTTCCCTTCCTTCCCCCCTCCCCCATTCTCCTCCTCCCTCCCCTCAGACGCCTATCACTCCCTCAATGCATTCATCTCCCGAGCCCCCACATAACTGCATCGCCCTCTCAGTCTGACATAATTCACCCCCCTGCCGTCCCTCATCGTTCCAGTCGCACAAAGCCCCATACCCTGCCCATGAGGCTTTAAAGTTGACCCTGCATACTTGTGTCTACACTCTAGTCCTGTTGTTTCTTTGAGGCTTGTAGGATGGAAGAAAGTTGATTGGATCAGACTCCACTCGTCCAGGTGTAGATGCTTCACCTGATCTATCTATAGATAGATGCTTTTCCAGGGAGCTTGCAAATTTAGCAGGTACTGTACTGAAGGGTATATTGAATAGAACTGGTTCAGTGAGGTTGGTGGCTCTAAATTGCAACACATCTTTGGTTTATGCAGAACAGTTCGTAGAGAGTTGGTTTAGCAGCGATTTGCCAGTGTGATAAAAACGAAAATTAATGGAGACCAGATATAGCATATTGTGTACTATCTCAAATGAACAATGTGAAAGCACAGTGCTACGGTACTTCATTGCAAAACCCATGTTGAAGGAGTTGCATACATCATGCAGTCATATGTACAGATGTACGTAAAACCAACACAAAATCCTAACCTTCAATGCTCACCTCATCTCATTTCCCCGCACACAGTAGTCTAGGCACAAGCGCATGCGCATACACACACACAGGCACACACCCACAGCCCATGCGTAACTCTATTCCGGTTCGCGCACCCAAGTCCACTGAGATCCCCACACCAAAGTCAACCAACTCCAGACCAGACACCACATCTGGAAAACTTCGCACAAACGGCACGTTAATGCACCACACACCCCTGCCCTTCCTCCCCAACCAATCACCACCTTCATCTGAAAGAACCCCATGCCCGTTTCCCCTCCTCCCTCCTGCTTCACCTCCTCCCCCTGCCTTGCTAGCTTACGGTACATGCATCTCCTCCTTTGAACCAGCATGAAGGACACTATCCCCCCCCTCAGATCCTCCCATAACCCTTCAAGATCAGATCAGAACCCGTCAGCAACCCTCAGTACCCCTCAGTACCCCTCCAGCTGCTCGTCCTTGCTGGTGAGCGGCACGTATCGCACAGACGCCACGTGGCTCTCTCTGAAGCGGCCACCTGGCAGCTTATCCACCACGAGCAGGTCCTGCGACCACGTGCCCACGGGTATAACCATCCGCCCCCCCACCTTCAGCTGCTCCTTCAGCGCTCGCGGGATCTCTGGTGCTGCCGCTCTGGGAACAGGAGGGATGGGGGGGGGGAGAAGGGGGAGGAAGGGGGAAAGGGGATGGGGGAAAGGGGAAGAGGCGATGGAGAGGGGGGGAGGGGGGCAAGGGGAATGGGGAGAGGACAGGGAAGGCAGAAACGAAGCATGGGGATGGGTTAGGTGGATGAAAGGAGCCGGGGATAGAGAAGGGATTGGTGTGCCAGAGACCAGTTGCGAATGGAGTGGTGGGAGAAGCAGCGTATGGCAATGCGCGGAGAGCAGGCAAGCTGAAAAAAGACACAGCATGAATTCAGCTGAACCACCGCCAGAAAACACCACAAAACAACACGGCCAAAAAGCACCGCCAGGGAACACCATCAGGAAACACGGGAAAGAAAAGAAAAGAAAAAAAAAAGAAAAGAAAAAGTGGACACATCCCCTCTCCCCCCACACACTCTCATGAACCCCGCGTCGCTCACCCCACGTGGATGGCATCGTATGGACTGTCATGCAGCCAGCCCTGCCTGCCTTGAGGGGGCTCAAAACTAACCCGCCTCGCTCACCCACTCACCCCACGTGGATGGCATCGTATGGACTGTCATGCAGCCAGCCCTGCCTGCCATCGCCCGTGTGCAGCGCAATCACCCCGCTTTCCAGCAGATGCGCTGCTGCACTCCTCGCCACATCCCGCTTTGACCGCTCCACCAGCTCTGCAAACGGAAGGGAAGCGAACAGGAATGTGAGGCGCGGGGGTGATTGATAACTGTAATGATGAGATAACTTTGCTCGAGTTTGCTCCCTCCTTCTCATCGCTGCTCACTGTAATTCGCTTTGTCCTTTCCAGACTGGCTCTGCAAATGGAGGGGGAGTGAACTGTGTGAACAAGGCCCGGGAGTGATTTCTTGGTCGGACTCACAAGTCACCTTTGCTTGCAACCCTCCCCAGGTTCCACCTCTATCGCTTCACCAGCTGTGTAAATGGAATGGGAGTGAGCCAGACTCAAGAAGCACCTTCTCACACCTTCGCACTCTTCCCCACGTTCCGCTGTGACCGTTCCACCAGCTGGTGGAGAGAGGTGGGGTGGGAAGTGAAGTTGCTGTGGAGAGGTGTGGGGTGAGTGGACGGTCATTGCGAGCGCAGTGCTGCATGCACGCTCGTGTGCACAAGAACCAGGCAGTCCCACGAGAGGCACAGTCACACCGTGAGGTAACTCTGCACACCCGGCGCTATGTTCGGGCGGTTTTTGAGGCACCTAGAAACCGAGCAGTTAGAAACAAACCTCGACGGAATGGCACAGCGTGTGTGCGCGCACACACAGAGATCGTTTCACAGTGTAAGCATGCTCCATCCCGTTCTAAACAGCAAATCTCCAAGACAGCACCTGCGCTGCAAGAAACAGCTGCACGGCTTGGAAGAAAGCGAAAAGCAACAGGGCAGCGCACCTGGTATATGCTCCACGCCCACGGCCTTCCCTGCAGGCGCCACGAGCAGCCCAAAGCACGCTGTGAGGTAGCCTGTACCCGAACCCACGTCCAGTGCTCGCATACCCGGCTGTTGACGCAGGCGTGGGGTGGGATGCGCATCGCGGGACGGCACGGAGAAAGCGGTTGGAGAGGAGTGAGGGGATAGGGAGGAAGAGGAGGTACGAGAGAGTGAGATATGGGAGATGGGACAGAGGCGAAGAGAGGAGGAGAAGAGTGGTGATTGTGGCTCCCCAGGGTGTTATATGCACTGATGCATTCACATCTCCCTGTCATTCCCAACCCACATCTGCAGATTGAGCTGAGAGGGCATGCGCACATAAGAACCTTTGACCCACTTACAGCCGAAGACTTTTGAGTCGACTCAATAATTAACTGAATCAAAAGTAACCTTTGGCCAACTTTAACCTTTGACCCACTTACAGCCGCAGCTCACCTGAACGCGCTCCTCACTCTCCTAAACGTGCTGCCCACCTGAAGGCATGTTTCATTCACCTGCAGGTGATTCTCCAGGAGCTCCAGGCACTGCGCGTGCATGTGCGGGGCAGAGATGGTGGCGTTGAAACCTATCGTCTGGGGCGAGTCCTGATACGCGTGCACCCAGGGGCCAGGTGGAACAAACAGACCGCGGTCCACCTGACGCATCACCTGAGCCGCCCGGGACTGACCCCCCCTGCGCAGCACACCGATGCGCTCCAGGTAGGATACTAACTCCACCTGAGACCGGCCCAACTGCCCTGAAGCCATGCTGCTGCTTCTTTCACTGCTGCTGCTGCTGCTGCTGCTGCTGCTGCTGCTGCTGCTGCTGCTGCTGCTGCTGCTGCTGCTGGTAAGAGAGGAACGGGACCTAGGCCTGAACGGAGCACCGCTGTAGCTGTAGCTGCTGCTGAAGCTGTCAGGGCCGGCGGCTGTAGCGGAGGGGCGGATTCTCAGCAGCCACGCCACGTGTGCAGGGTCGATTGCCGCGTTGTCTGACTCGCTCTCTTGGGAGTTGCTGCCTGCTGCGGGGGGGTCGCTGCTGGGAGTATTCCCCTCCTGCTTGCTGCTGCTGCTGCTGCTGCTGCTGCTGCTGCTGCTGCTGGTGTTGCTGTCAAGACTACTGGTGTCAGCACTCCTGCTGGTAAAAGGCGGATCCTCTTGAACCTTTTCTTCAGCAGCTCCCGTTATAAGCTCGTTCGCTTTCTCGTTACAGTCACCACCTCCGCTGCCAAGTGCCTGCACCCGGACTTTATACGACCTGAGCTTTACCAAGCCGCCACCGCCGCCACTGCCACCACGAGACCACAGCTTATGTGCGCTCAAGAATCCAGACGGCACAACTGACGCGAACTCCCGCGGGCCAAACTGCAGCTGACGTGGCACGGCGGACTGAGACGATACTGACAGGCGCCCCTGGCGGCAAGATTTGATGGTCCCGTGGACACGTGGCAGGCTGTGGCTCCACGTCACGGTCTCTGCTGAAGCGTGCGCGCAAAGGTTCGCCGTAGTTTCTCGCGACAGACCAGGCGTGGGAGAGTCCGGCAGGGCTGAAGATAATCTCCTTGTCGAGAATGGCGTTAACGGTCGACTAGCGGAAACAGAAGCAGGACGACTAACAGGACGACTAAGATGAAGACGGGAGGATGTACCACCAGTATTACTCGAACTATTGTAAGTGTTTCCAATTACATTCGTAGCGATTTGTGCGAAAGGCATTGGACCGAAGCAGCTGCAAGCAGAGCGCCCTTTACGGCGACTGGAGAAGCACGGGAAACACGGCGAGCGCGACGCGGGGCGACTCGCGCATGCTTGAAACTGCGCGCGACACGACGACAGACGCGGACCGAGGAGAGTGCATGAAGCAAGACACGGAGGATGCGCAGAAAGCGCGGACACGTGGCAAGACATGAACGAGGTTGTCTCTTGGAGAGCCGTGTGTGCTTGGTACTGCTTTCTGAGCTCTACCAGCGAAATATATAGACGGACGAATTGACGGACGGACGGACGCAGGACGCCAGTATTTGCAGAACGACCAGAGAGGCTTTGGCGCGGCGCTACGAATTCTTCCGTGTGAGGGGGGCATACGAAGCTGCTGCCTTTCCCGAGTCGAGGTCGAGAGACTCGGGATTTCTTTCACACGCCGTGGAGTTCTCCGTGCATGACGCTCCCGTCTCGTGCGGCAGCAGGGCTGGCTAGAGGAATCAATGACGAGACAGCGTGCTGCTGTGTATGAATTTCTGCTTCTCTGCCTGTCACGAGTCTTCTTGACAAATGGTTTTGTCTGCCTTTTCTTGTTTTCTTGCCTCTTGCAATGCAATGCAATGCAAATGAAAATCCAGCACAGCGAAGAAAATATCTCCGCTATCGGCTTGCGCGTGTTGTCTTGTCGCGGATGCATGGTTCGACATTCCCTGAGCGCTATCCGAATCGAATTACAGATAAGAATGTACACTACACTTGCAGGGAAACATGCTCTGCTAAGCGCTAGTGTAAAAATATAAGGACGCGTCACAAGTGAAACACCGATCCTGCACAAGATCGGTGTTTTGCATTCACGACGTCGTTAATTACTGGTTACCGGTCTTCGTCATCTGTCGCCAATGTACAGTTGTCCTCTTGGAGTCGGGCGATCGATGTGCCCTTGTCACACATCGATCGTGCAATTTCGTCCACATCGGGCAATTTTGCCCCATGATTTGCCGATCGTGTCACTTGGGAATTGCGGTGGGCCCGCGATTGCAAAAATTCAGTCGTGGCACACACCGATGTGGCGATCGATTTGGCAGGATCGGTGATTCCCCGACCCTCCCTCGGTTTTCCAAATGTGTCGCGTCCTAATCGCTGATTATACTGACTCAAAGCTTCAGTTCACTATTTCATTATCAGCCATATTGAGAACAATGGGGCTGACCTATGCTGGGAAGGAACCACCCCACCTAAAAAGAAAGCAATACCGTATGGCTCTTGCAAACCTGCTGTGCTCGTTTCCTACGAATCACTAATGTGCTTGGTAAAACCACAAGAACCCATCAGACGACCTACCAACCACTGATCGGCTGCTGCTAAAGGAAATTCAGGATATGGTACCGGCGCTCAAGCTCCTGATGGGGAACCCCTAAATCCTCCGCCAAAGCAAAGGCAGATGTGGATGCATATCTCCTCTGATACACTCGCAAATGCTCCGAGCGGCGGGTGAGCTTGTTCAATGCGGCATCAGCATTGGCCATGAGGTGAGCGCGGCGCTTCTGTGCAGCCAGCACAGCGAGAAGGAACTCAAGGCGCGCTTCTGTGCGCTTTGTCACTGAAGCTGAGTCCTCGGGCCGGAGGGTCTGTTGGCGGCAGGGGCGGCGGGGAGTAAGATTTGATGGTATGGACGCGATGACATGGACGCGATGACATGGACGCGATGACATGGACGCGATGACATGGACGCGATGACATGGACGCGATGACATGGACGCGATGACATGGACGCGATGACATGGACACGATGACATGGACGCGATGACATGGACGCGATGACATGGACGCGATGACATGGACGCGATGACATGGACGCGATGACATGGACGCGATGACATGGACGCGATGACATGGATGCGATGACATGGACGTGATGACACGGACGTGATGACATGGACACGATGGACTTGAATTTTAGTGAGGGATGAGTGAGGGATAGGATGGAACGAGCTCTGCTTGGCATGCTTTGCTTTGTTTCTTAAAAAAAAAACCAAACCACCTGCAATCACCAGAACCCCACACTGCACAAGCAGCAGCAGCAGCAGCAGCAGCTCACCAGGAAAAGAGCCGGGAAGCCAGAAAGCAGCGCGGGCGGAAACATGGAGGCGAGAGGCACGACGGGCACATTCAACGCCAGCGACACCCCAATAGTCCTAATCAGCAGCATGTACGCGTGCAGAGTCTCTGCTGACGGTGGCGCCTGCTTGAAATCAGCTATGGCCTCTCGGCACATGGAGTCGTGTGCTGCGACGAAGGCATCGTGGCTTGCTGAGTGCTCGTCTGCACCGTCTCCATACTCTAGGAGGAGCGTGCAGTCGTAGAGCAGGACCAGCATCTGCTCGTATGCTCCCACTGCGCCCGCTGCTTCTGCTGTCGTTTCACTGCCCATGCCTGGTGTGGGGAAGGGGATGGGCGGGGAAACGAGGGGGAGAGGGGGCGGGTTTGGGGTGTGAGGGAGAACGGGGGATGCGGGGAGCGACAAGAGAGTTCAGACACGGAGGCGCAGGACAGGGTTTGGAAAGGACATGCGTGGGCGCGGCTCAAGGGATGCTAAACAGAAGGGGCTAGAAGAGGGGCTAGAAGGGGCTAGAAGTGGCTAGAAGCAGAGGGCGCAGAGGGCCACATAGTGAAACACGGGCACCTACCCAGTGACTGCTCGCACTCCTCATCCGTGGGGCACCTCCCGAGCCTCTGCACCAGGGCTACCGCCGAGGCTGCGCGCTGGCCAATGAGGGACTGCCACATGGAGCAGACCATGCCGCCCTTGAGCGCGACGGTGGGCAGCGGGGAGACGTGCTCGTGGGAGAAGAAGAGCAGGTCGCTGGGCTCTGCATCGTAGCCTCCTAGCGACATGGACAGCCCTGGCCCTTTCCTGCCTTCCTTGCCTTCCCCGCTGCCTTGCAGCTTCTTCTGCTTCGCACCGCTGCTCTTGTCCTTATCCTTGTCGCCCTCTGCCTTGCCACCGCCACCCGCGGTCTCTCCAGCAGCAGCCGAACCAGCTGCTGCTGCTGCTGCGTCAGCAGACAAACGCTCTGGAGCCTCTGCATCAACCGCCGCACTGGCTGCTCCTGCAACCGCACCAGCACCACCACCATCAGCACCAGCACCACCACCAGCACCAGAAGCAGCAGCGGCAGCAGGCGGCTTGGGAGGCACATGGGCAGCTTTGACGCTCTGGAAGAAAGCGGAGGACCACTGGCGACAGAGCTCCATGGCCCGGTGCGACGCCAGTATGTCCGCGTGACAGCTCTCAGGAAACCGGTCCAGCATCTCGCGCAGCAGCTGCACCGACTCCCTCTCGTCCTCCCTCTGCCGCTCCTCCTCTGCCTCTGCTGCTGCTGCCTCTTCATCCTCCTCCTCCTCCTCCTCCTCCTCCTCCTCCTCCTCCTCCTCCTCCTCCTCCTCCTCCTCCTCCTCCTCCTCCTCCTCCTCCTCCTCCTCCTCCTCCTCCTCCTCCTCCTTCTCCTCCTCCTCCTCTTCCTCGTCTGCGTTCTCGTCACTGTCCTTCTCCTCCTTTCCCTCGACCTCCTCTTTCTCTGCTGCCTCTTTGGCTTCCTGGCGTTCACCCTTCTGACCATCCACCCTTTCCAAATCCCCATCTGAAACCACAGTTTCCTTCAGCGCCGCTTCCTCACCCTGCACGCCCTTAGGCCCGTCCGCTCCTGCTCTCTTGTCCTTGACCTTCCTCCTAGCCTTCTTTCCCTTCTTTCCCTTCTCACCTCCTTCCCCACCGGGTAGCTTCCTCTCCTCACCACCACCAGCACTGCCTCCCCCACTCCCTCTCTCCAACCGCTCCTCCCCTCTCCCCCTTTCCACCTCCCGCACTTGTGCTACCATCTCATTCGCCATCCCTCGCACCAGCTCCGGTCTTTCCACTTTCAGCAGAGCCCGGTGCAACTGAGATGTGAACAGAGCAGAAGGGGACAGAAGCAACTGCAACCGAGCCACCCAGAGAGGCACGGGGAAGGTGGGGACCTCAGCTGCGGACGGCAGCCGGCCCTGCCGAACCGGATAGCCTCGGGCAGAGGAGAGCTTGCAGACGTGGATGATGGCTCTGCCAAGCAGCCATGCGTCTTCCACATGGCTTGATAGGTGCAGCCATTGCTCTAGCCCGTGCTGGTGAAAGGGGGAGAGGGTGGGGTGGGATGGGATGGGTGAGGAGGTGTCTTTTCTTGAGGCGCGTTATTAACAGATGATGGCTCTGCCTAGCAACCATGCGTCTTCCACGTGGAGGGGGCAGGAGATGCAGGGGGTGAGATGTAATGGGTGAGGTGCGTGTGTATTTGAGGCGCCTCAGGAATGGATGATTGATCGCTCACCTCGATCCACAAGTCGTTGTCTTTGGGTTTGGGAGGAGCCACAATTAGCCTGCCAGACCCACTCCGCCCACCACCACCCACTCCTCCATGCTCATCCTCCTCCCGCGCCCCTCCTGATGCCTGCTGCTGCTGCTGCTGCTGCTGCTGCCGTGCCGTGCCTGTCCCCTTCCGAGGCTCTCGCCCAGGTATGGTATCCAGCAGCTCCTCCTTTATCACCTGCGTGCAGATCCGAGCCAGAAACAGAGCCTTGGCAGCAGCTCCGGTGACCTGACACCAGCTAAACAGCAACGGGTACCTTCCCCCTGGTGGCACACTGCTAGACAGACCCCCCTCCACGCCTCCCTCCCCTCGCTTCCCACCCTCCCCTCCTCTATTCCTCCCTCCCATCCTCCCCCGCGAAAACACCACTCTTGCCGTCTTCCTCCCCTCCACCTCCTCCCGCCGGCATCCGATCCGACGGACCACCTCGACCAGCACGGGCAGATCAACGGTCAGGATGTCTTGAACAGGAACCGAGCGCAGCCAGACGAGAAACAGGCACTGCCAATCCTCCCTGGGAAGCCTTAGCCTGTGCATGGCTGAGAGGAGAGTTCTCAGCCCTGCCGTCCCGTGGGAGATTCTCCCCATGAAGAATCTCGCCAGGGCGGCTAATTCATCCACATCTGCCGCTCGGCACAGCCAGATAACGCCAGAGCCGCGACGGGGATCTGGCTGGGATGGCGGCGCTGGTGATGCTGCTGTTGCGGTGGGGAGAGGAGCAGGAGTGCAAGCAGAGGGCGAGAAGGAAACGGTAGAGGTGGAGGAGGGAGAAGAGGCGGCAGGAGAGGGCGTGGTGGAGGGGGTGCAGGCAGGAGAGGAGGCTCCTGAGGGGACGTTGGAGTGGTCTGCGCCTGCTCCCCACCGCACCCTCACCCTCTTCTGAATGCTCTGTGGCTTGTCAGCCCCGCGAGACACACCGACGCCAGCAGTGACAGCAGCAGCACCAGCAGCAGTTGTAGCAGCAGCGGCAACAGCAGCAGTTGCGGGTACTGTGAGAGCAGCAGGCTGGCAGTAGGGGCTACGCGTGAGATCAAAGGCGAAGGACCGCACAAACATGACACACGGCACATGCTCTGCAGACGTCCCCTGCTGCCGCCGCCGCCGCCGCCGCCGCCGCCGCAGCAGCGAGCGATCGAGCAGACATAGAGGCAAACGGGCCTTGAGCAGCAGATGAGAGAGCAGACGCTTTGGGACTGGTGGCAGCCGAAGTGGTGGTGCTGTGGCTCCTGCTGCTGCTGCTGCCACCCATGCTGCTGTTGCTGCTGCTAAAATCCTCCATCATCTGACTCCCACTGCTGCTGCTGCGGCTGATTATGCCCCCCGGACCACCACCACCGCCGCTGTCACTCCGACTAATCGCCTCCCCCAACCCCCCAATCCCGCTTATCCCCCCAATTCCACTGATCCCGCTCATCCCCCCAATGCTGCTCCCACCGCCGCCGCTACCGTCACCACTAAACCCCGTGCCCTTGCTTCCAGAAGCCTCCTCCCCCAGCGCCCTGGTCTGCTCATCCTCTCCTTCCATCCAGAGCTTGTTTAGCTGAGACTCCACCGCGCAGCCAGCAATCCACGCGCCCACATCAGCCACAAGAGCCTCGTACCGCGCTCGAAACACCGTCAGTGCTGCCTCCATGTCACTCATCGACCTCCTACGAATCCTCTTGCCCTTTGCTGCTGTCGCCCTCCTTGCCTGTACACTCCAGCTCCCTGCGCTCCCTTCCTGGCCCGCCTCTTCTTCCTCCTCCTCCTCGTCCTCCTCCTCTTCCTCCTCCTCTTCCTCCTCCTCCTCTCTGTCCTGCTCCGTGGTCCTGAGCTCAGGAGCAGGTAGCCTTCGCCAGAAGCCAGTCCCGTCCAACGAGACCCCTCTCCTCGCCTTCCTCCCGTCCTCCTCCCCCTTTCTCCCCCCACCAACCTCCCCTCCCCCATCACCAGCACCGTCAGCACCAGCAGCTGCAGCCGCAGCAGCAGCAGTGGCAGCAGCTTCGTTCTCCAGCTGCATGTAAACCTCCACAAGGAGGTGCTGGAAGCGCAGGGCACGCGCACGCTGCTCCAGGAACGGAATAAACTTGTCATCCACACGCTTCACTCTGCTCACATCCACCCCTCTCAACCACTCACTCTGCACCACCACCGCAGCCGCCGCTGCTGCTGCTGCTGCTGCTGCTGCTGCTGCCCTGCCTCCTACCACCCCTCGGCCCTCCTCACCACCCTTCTCACCTTCCCCTCGGTCCGCCTTGCTCCTCACTTCCTCCCCCTCCGCTTCTCCTCCTCCCTGTTTCTCTGTCACCCCGGCCTTGCTCTCCCCTACCCCATCGCTCACCCTCTCATCCACTCCATTCTCTCCCGCAGTTTTTTCCAACTCCTCTCTGCCTCCGCCTTCTGTCTCCAGCGGGAGCAGCTCGTATCCGTCTTTGGTAGCCCCCATCTGCTGTTGCTGTTGCTGCTGCTGCTCTGCGGGTTGCTTCCATGCAGACGTGAGGGACCCCCACCAGCTTTTCTTTGCAGGTGCAGCAGCAACAGCAGCGGCATCAGCAGCAGTGGGGGCGGCTGCAGTAGCACCAACAACAGCAGCAGTTGCTGCAGAGGTAAAGGCAGCAGCAGCGGAGGTTATTGCAGCAGCAGCAGCATTTGAAGCAGCAGTGCTTGCGTTACCACTCGGTGCTTCTGCTCCTCCTCCTTCCTTCACTTTCCCTTCTCCATTCTCTCTCATCCTCTCTGCCTCATCCCCTTCACTCTTCTCCAGGCCAGAATCATTCTCAATCGCCGTTCCCCCACTGCTCCCACCAGCCTCCCCACCCCTTCCCTCTTCCTTCCTCACTCCGTCACCCCCCCCCACGCCCTCAGACCCTCCTCTTTCTGCTGCAGCCTCGCTTATTTCCGCCAGGCGGGGAAGCTCAGGGGGAGGCAGATGAGCGACAGCCAGGGAGACCTCTAATGTGCATAACACATCTTCTAGAACAGCTAAGTGGCACTTAGCTGAGAGGGATGGCCGGCTCGCAATTAGCAAGTCAAGCACCTGGGGAGCGGGCGGGAACGGATACACAGAAAAAGAGAGGGGAAGATTCAGGCCGGTTCCACTCTCCCTGCTTTTTTTGTCGTTCTCTAGGCAAGGCGTGTGGAAGCAGAGCGGATGGGTCGACTCAAAAATCGACTCATCACACGCGGTTCTCTAGGAAAGGCGTGTGGAAGCAGAGCGGATGGGTATGGGGGACACACGCTGAAAGGATTTGTTATCCATGCACCTTGAAAACCGTTCCACTGGTGCTTTTGCATTGGGATTGGCTAAGACATATGGGGAGTTGGCAGAAAGCGGATGAGAGTGAATGTGTGTGTGTAGGGGGGAAGGGGGGGGAGGGGGGGAGGAGGAGAGAGCGAGAGGGAGAGAACGAGTGTGGACCTGCAGCTTGCGAAAGGGCGAGGTGAGACCAGCCAGCAGCACTCCCACCACCTTCTCCTCCCACTGTGGGCTCCCCACCTCCCCCCACCCCTCCACCTCCTCCTCCACCTCCGCCTCCACCTCCTCCTCCTCCTCTTCCTCGTCCTCCTTCTCCATATCCAGCCCCTCCACCTCTTCCTTTTCCTTGTCCTCCTTCTCATCCTCCTTCTCCTCTTCCTTCTCCTCCTCCTTCTCCCTCTCCTTCTCCTTCACCTCCTTGCTGTCACCGCTACTCTTTTCCGTTGCATCATCATCATCACCCTTCTCCCTCTGGCTTTCACTCACTCCTCCTGACACTGCACTCGTCCCCCCATGCTCCCCTTCCGCCTTACCACCACTGCCATCACCACCATCATCCCGCACTTTCCGCTCCTCATCCACCTCATCCACCTTCCCATCCACGTCATCCACCCTCCCATCCACATCGCCCACCCTGCCGCGCCTCCCTTTCACCCGTGCTCCCACGCGCGCCCTCCTCGCACGCGTGAGCAGCTCCCTGGCAGCAGCAAGAGCAGCGTCCTTGGAGCGGTGCTTGAGCTTGAGTAGGTCGCACAGGCGCTGGAATATGTCCGCCTGGGATAGCAGCGCTGCCTGCCCTGCTGGCTTGCTTGCGCCCACCAGCCTGCAAGGGGGAGACAGGAGGGATATGGGGTGTGGGGAGGGATGTGCATGGGAGGCAGGGAGAGGAGGTGGGGGAGAGATGGGGGCTGGTGTAAGGAAGAAAGATATGAGAGACGCAGGATTGCTCCTTGAGAGGATTGTAGACCCAGGGGTGCAGGGATGTGAGAAGGGGTGCAGGGATGTGAGATTGGGTGCAGGGATGTGAGATTGGGTGCAGGGATGTGAGATTGGGTGCGAGGATGTGCAATAATCGCAATAGAGACAGAAATAGAACCGAGTAACGAGGCGGAGATAGATAGAGACAATGTCAATAAGAGACGGAGTCGGAGACGCAGGGACATACTACTCGCCAGCGAGAGAGATGCTGTTATTAGTAAACAGGTGGGCATGAGCTCCATGAGCAGCCATGACAACCCATGCAGCACAAACGGAAAAGAAGTTGGACTTTCTAGACATCTCAGAATAAGCTGGTTCTTGAGACGTGTCAAAAGGCAAGGCGAGGCGAGGCGAGGAGGGGAGCGACATACTCGCCAGCGAGGGAGATGGTGGGCATGAGCTCCATGAGCAGCCCTGACGACCCATGCAGCACAAACGCCCTGTGCCGCTGCTCCACCACCACCACCCCCACCCCTTCCCCCCTGCCGCTAGGGCTTGCACTTGCACTTGCACTCAAGCTAGACCCATGATGGCTGGGGCTGGAATCAGCGTTGCTGCTCGGCAGCTGCTGCTGCTGGTGATGGGGATGGGTGGGTGGGAGCGCAGGCACTACAAAGCCCAGAGAGGGTTGCATGAGGCGCGTGTTGGTGCTGCAGCGCAGGGCTGCTATGCGGGGGCCTGTTATCAGCTGCCACACCTGGAAAGGAAAGGAAAGAAGGGGGGGAGGGGAGGGAAGGGAGGAAGGGGTTGCATGAGACGCGTGTTGGTGCTGCAGCGCAGGGCTGCTATGCGAGGACCCGTTATCAGCTGCCATACCTGGCTGGCGGTGGGTGGCGTGGGGAGAGGGGGAAGGTGGGGGGAAAGGGAGAGGGAGGGAGGGCAGGGGAGGAAAGGCGGGGAGAGGGGGAGGGAGGGAGGGAAGGAGGAAAGGCGGTTAAGGAGAGCTGGACAGAAAGAGGGGAAAGTGGGGTAGCGGGGAAAGACAAATGGCCCGTGCCTCAGGATGCTAAATGAATGACTTTCGGTGCGTTTTGGAACGGGATATGTGGAGCAGGAGTGGGGATGATGAGGGTGACGGAAGGAAGGAAACGAGATGGTACGACAATGGCAACAAACAGCGAGTAGTGAGCAGCGAGCAGGGCAAGGCAGGGCAGGGCAAGGCAAGGCAGGGCAGGGCAGGGCAGGGCAGGGCAGGGCAAGGCAGGGCAGGGCAGGGGACACTGGCCTCGATGGTTTCCCTCCTGGGAGCAAAGATGGCAAGGCACAGGCGGAAGGGGCGCGCGTGTTGCCCATTCACATTGCTGCCACTGTTGCCGCTACTGTCGCTGCTGCCACCGTTGCTGCAGGTGCTGGCGGCAGTGGCAGTGGCAGTGGCAGTGGCAGTGGCAGTGGCAGTGGCAGTGGCAGTGGCAGCGGCAGTAGTGGAGGTACTGTGAGCCTCTGCTACGTCCACCACAGGCGCTTCAAAGAAGGCCACTTGCGCGTCTCGATATCCCTGCAAGAGGAGAGGGAGAGGGAGAGGGAGAGGGAGAGGGAGAGGGAGAGGGAGAGGGAGAGGGAGAGGGAGAGGGAGAGGAGAGGAGGAGACAGGCAGAGGGGAGAGAGATAGAAGTGTGGCTATCGGACGTTTCAGTATCGTCAATTCTGCACAAAAGGACAGACAGCCCACCCCACTCTCCCCCTCACCCACCCAAATCCCACAACCGGATCCAACACACACTATCATACTGCACAGCTCACAACCGCCCCACGCCATTCTCCACACCTCACCAGCCTACCACCCCACCTCACTCTCCACCCCCCAACACCCCTCTGCAACTCCGACCACCGCTCTCCACCCCCACCAACCTTCCACATGCGCAGCACGGCAAAGATCTGGGAGTCCATGAGCAGAACGCGCCCCAGCCCATCCGCCACAGCCATTAGAGCCCCCCTGGGCGACAGCACTAAGTGTGTCGCTTTCCTAAGCGGGTCTTTTAGTGCCGCTACCAGCGCCGTGGCACGGCCTGCGTCTGTCGCTACTGCTGGAATCAACGGCTCAGATCGCTCGTCCTGGGCCGGCCGGGAGAACAGCCGGTTGAATCCGAATGCCCGAGAGTCTTCGGGGGGTAGAGAGGGGTGGAGAGGGGGGAGTGGTGGTGTGGAGTGGTGGTGTCCTGACGCTGATGGGGGGAACGGGGGAAGCTTGGACTTGGTGTGTGTGGGCCCAGCAGAAACAGAACGAGCAACACTGTGACTACCAGAACCACTGCTGCTACTACCACCACCGCCGCCACCACTGCCACCACCGCTGCCGCCGCCACTGCTGCTGCTACGGCCTATCCTGCTCTCTCCCGCCCCTTTCTCTCCTCCACCAGCGCCTCCCCCTGCCGCCGCACCCCCTCCCTCTTCTCCCCCTCCAGCCTCCCCGCCACCCGCCCCTTTCCCCGCGCCTCCGCCCCCAGCCACCCCAGCAGCGTCCTCCTTCCCCCCGGCAGCATCCCCCTTTCCCCCAGCAGTATCCCCCTTACCCCCAGCAGCCCCCCCAGCAGCCATTTCATTGAGCAGCACGCCACTGAGCTTGCGCTGCAGCTGAGTGGACATGCGGGGGACTATGCCCAGAGCCAGGAGCGTGGGGTTGGAGGGCGCAGAGGAAGAGACTATGGACGCTGCTAGCTGCACCCACTCTGGCTCCTCCGTTGCTCTGAAGGGGCGGGGGGGGGACGCGGTGGAAGGGACGCGGTGGAAGGGACGCGGTGGAAGGGACGCGGTGGAAGGGACGGGAGGAAGGGAGGAACAGTGTGTTTTGAGTCGAGTCAAAAGCAAGGCGTAGAGGAACGGATTATGGACGCTGCTAGCTGCACCCACTCTGGCTCCTCCGTTGCTCTGTAAGAGGTGGGGGGGGGGACGGGGTGGAAGGGGCGGAGGTGGTGGGGAGTTGTTGGTAGGACCATAACTGGTACGGGAAATTGCATTAGAGAGAAAGGAAGTGCTTGTGCTAAACAGAGGGTGAGAGTTTTGCGTGGGCACGGAATGGTTGGAGCAGCAGGGGTTTAGGGAGCAGGCAGGACTGCACTCACGCGAAAGCGGCAATGCAGGGATTCTGTCCCACGGCCACGACACAGAGAGACTGAAGCGCCGCCTGCACAGGGAAAACCAAATTCAATCAGACGAGTTGGAACCTGGGAAACTCATGTGGCATAAACTAATCGATCCAGGAAGAAGGAACCAAAGCACGACAAGAAGACAGCAAGCAGCAAACTGCAGCAAACTTCCACCCACCCAGCCTCTTCCCTCCAACGACAGTCCCATTTTCGGGTTGAAAAGAGCCAAGAAACACATGCCAACCACACCACAGCGCCAGCTTTCAAGGCGCCCCAAACTCATCTCTCTTGTCTCGTGGTTCTCATGGGATGGGAAGAGAGGCGAATCCCACCTGTGGGTTGAAGAGAGGCGAGGGGAACATGCCGACGACAGCGCCATCGCTCCACCGTGTGCTGCCCAGCCCTGTGCGCCACTTGAGGAACGGAATGGGCACGGCGTGGCCCGCCTCCTCCTCCCGGCTGCTGCGCTTGGGCCCGCCCATGAAGCTGAAGGCTGAGGCGAAGCGGGAGGCGGACGCTGCGGCAACGGCAGACGCTGCTGCTATGGCCTCCAGGCGCCGGTGCAGCAGCGGCTGGTGGTGGGTGGGTGGGTGGGTGGGTGGGTGGGTGGGTGGGTGGGTGGGTGGATGGAAGAGAAGGAGGGACAGATAGACCCGTGGATTTAGGTTGGGGGAAGCATGGGATTGACGAAGGGGCTTTAGAAATCGCAGGGTAAAGCGGACAGAAGTCCAGAAGAGGAAAGGGAGGAGGGAGGATCTCGAATATAAGAGACCAAGGGAAGCGGGGTTAGAGTTGAGAGGGGAGGGGAGAGGCGGAAAAAGGAGCGATGAACTGTTGACCTAGTGAAAGGGAAGGGGCAGAGGAAGAGTTAAGGAAGAGTCAAGGAAGAGTCAAGGAAGAGAGGAGAGAGCAAGAGAGGAGACCAAGCAAGCAAGCAAGCACGCACGAGCAGCTGCAGGGGGCTGACGATGGCAGTGGCGTTCCTGGTGACGACAGAAAGCTCCTGAGACCCATCGTTGCGCACCATGCCTGAATCCACGCCCCTCACCCGCAGCCGCAGCACCGCCTGCGTGTGCACCATCTGGGGGAGCATGGGGGGAACACAGGGACAGGGGCACGCGGCGGCAAGGCGAGGAGGGGAGGGGGTCGCTGAGGCACGCCGAAAGGGGCTTCTGAGGCGCCTCAAAACTCACCCGCAGCCGCAGCACCGCCTGCATGTGCACCATCTGGGGGAGCACGGGGGGGACACAGGGGCGCGCGGGGGCAAGGCGAGGAGGGGAGGGGGTCGCTGAGGCACGCCGAAAGCAGCAGCCGCAGCACTGCCTGCATGTGCACCACCTGGGGGGGCATGGGCAGGAGGAGGAGCGGAGGGGATTTGAGATGTGGAATGGGGCCATATGGACGGATGAGAAGCGGAGACACCTGGTGGGAGTAGGAGATTTGGGGGGAGTGGGAGAATTGAGAAGGGGGCGAGGGAGGGGGAGAGTTGGGCGAGGGAACGGGGTGGGGGCAAGACGGGAACCACGCCCCCCAAGTGCAGGTTGTCACTTCAAAGTTGTCGGGAAATGAATCTCTATAGCACTCACTCTGAGATCGCTTTTAAGATCTCTCAGAAGCGTTCTCAACATTGACGGATCTCTAGCACTCACTCTGGAAATAACTCCCACTCCCCCTTTCCCTTCTCGCTCGCTCTCACACTCTCTCTCGCGCACTCGCACCTGCCGAGCGAGCAGCACGCCCGTGTCAGCATAAATAAGGAGGAACCCAGCAGCCGTACCCACAGCCACACACAGCAGCGACTGCTGCTGCTGCTGCTGATGATAATGATGATGATGATGGTGGTGGTGGTGGTGGTGGTTTTGGTGATGCTCCTGCTGCGGCTGTAGGCTGTGCGCATGGTTCTGGTGGGAATGATGTTCCCCCTGCTGGGAGTCAGCCTGAGGGGAGGAGTCCGCGAGCTGGGAGGAGGACGAGTGGGGCGGGCTAGGGGGAGTGGCGGCGGAAGCAGAGGGGGAGCGCGGGGGGGTGTGTGCGGCAGTGTGGGGAGAGGGAGGCGGGGCGAAGTAGAGCCATTCGAGTGCTGTGATGCGATCGCTGCGGTCACATGCGGGGGAGATCACCACAGGGTCGGATTGCCTGTGGTGGTAGGAGTGGGACACGTGGGGAAGAGACGGGGCGTACAGGAGCAAGCATGCACAGATGGGCAAGGGATAAGTAGTAGTCAGTTAGTCAGTCAGTCCAGAGTGCAGATATGCAGAGAGGCGAAAGGGAAAGTGGGAGATGGCACGGAACAAGCGAGACTTGCAGGCCCAGCAAAGAGACATGGTGCACCACCATGACACGCGAGACTCGCGTGACAACTCTCTTTCTGCTCTTCCCTGTTCCTTCCTCACCCTCCTGCCCATCTCTGCTCTTCCCTGCTCTTCCCTTCCCTTCCCTGCTCTTCCCTGCTCTTCCCTTCCCTTCCCTGCCTTTCCCTGCTCTTCCCCGCCCTACCCTGTCCTTCCCTGCTACACTTTTCAATGGCGTATCACCGCGTGATCTCGGTATCCCTCGTACCCTTATCTCCCACACTCATATGTTCCCATAAACGCACTCAATCATCCCCACTTCACTGCCCAACCTTCACGCTTATCACACGTCTCAAAACTTCAAAAGCTGCCATGCCGTGCCGCCATGCATGGCCTGGGAGACGTCTCAACAACACTCGTCTCTCCCCACCCCATCACCTCACGCATCCCCCCTCGTTGCACCGCCCTTGCGCTCGCCACCCATCCCTCCGACCACCAAGCCCAAAACATGCTCCCCACTCCATTCCACATTCACTTCTTTCTGCCATCGTCTCTGATTTTCCACGCATTCCTCACATTCCCTAGCCTAGCCTAACCCCCCTCCTTCGTCCAAGCATTTAACGCATGCTCTCCCTATTGCGTTCACTCTCCTCTCCCTCAGCCTCCTCAATTCGTCTCAGCCGTCCCTGATCCCGCCCATGCCACGTCAGCTACCCTCCCACCGTTGCCGCTCCCACTCCACCTCTACAACCACCTCAGAACCTAGTCGCATCACTCTGATCGCACCCTCCGGTCCGGATCGCCGCCCCTCACCCACCCACACCCACCACCACCCACCCTCACCCCATATCGGCGGCCACGAGGCCATCGAGCAGAACGAGCGTGGAGCCATAGCCAACGGCCATGCGGTCAGAGCACGACGGTACCGCCACCACCACCCCGCTCTCCTCCAACCAATTCGACGTCCACAGCTGCCGCAGCGTCGCTCCCCCCTGCCCCTGCCCGCCTCCCCCCCCACTTCCGCCTCCGCCTCCGCTTCCCCCTCCCCCTCCGCCCCCGCCTCCACCGCCCCCATCGTCGTCTAGCTCCGCGTCTAGATCCGACGAGCCGTTTCTCCCTGCGGGGGGCGGAAGCCCCGCGGGCGCGGGTTTTCCGCCGGAGAAGATGGACTGGAGGGAGAAGCGCGCGGCGGAGTCGTCTCCGTGCGGCGGCGGCTGGCCGTGCTGCTGCTGCTGCTGCTGCTGGGACTGCTGGTCGGCGTGCGCGTCGCCGGCGGAGGACGGCTGTAGCAGCACCACGAGCTCGTCTACCGCTAGCCGCCCCGCGGGGTACTGCACCGTTGCCCGGCCTGCGCGCGGAGGGGGGAGGGAGAGTGGGGACGGGGAAAGGGGGAGGAGGAGGGGGAGGAGGGGAGGGAGGAATTAAGGGAGGAGAAGGGGGAGGAGGGGATGGATGAGGGGAGGTTATGCGGGAAGAGGAGTGGAAGGGCGGGAGAAATGGATGCATGAGGCGGAATAGGGAAAGGGTACTGGGAGACAGCAGGAGGTGCTGGGTGGTGCAGGAGCGGCGGCGGCGGCGGCAGCAGCATGGGGAGCAGGAAAAGTAGCAGCTCCAGCAGGCAGCAGCGCCAGCCGTAGCGGGAGAAGCGCGTATGACTCGAGCGGAGCTGCGGTATGCGGCACTGGGCCGTTAGGGCGAGATCAGGCCGACGGAGTCGGAAAACTTCTCTTCATTCCGTTCGCGCGATACGGAATATGCCTTGCCCCTTTCTGAACCCTCTCTGAGCTCCCAAGCATTCGTTATACGCCCGTTTCTATTGCATGCTCCCATGCAATTTGCACAACTGAATCGGTCTGGTTCCTGCCTGCTTTTCCCGCCAGAACAAAACAACGAGAATAAGGAACGTTATATCGAGCGAGCGATGACACGCGACGGCGCGGGTACCGCGAATCAGGGGATGCTTACCTGGCATGTCTGCGACTGGTGACGGCTGACGTGTCCCAGTGGAAATAATGGACTAACGGCAAGATCAAGGAGCCATTTTTTGGTCAGCAGGAGCACGCTTTTTGGTCAGCTATTTGTTTGAAATGAAAGCGGTGAAGCTCTTCGGGATCGAGACGTCGTTGAACCAAACGCATTGCTCGCAACCCGGACGTACACGAACGAAAAAATAAAAATTAGCAAAGGTAGTACAAGCGAAGGTGTGGACAGAGGGACGTGTGAGGTTGCTGCTTTATTGGTCCGGTCGTATACGCGGGAATCGAGAAACCAAAAATGTGAGAAACCAACATTGGGAGAAAGCGGGAGCTGGCCGGCAAGTTTTAGTTGATAGGTATCCTCCGCTGCATGGCCATTGGCTGAGGACTCAAGCTGAAGTGGTGTGGTGTGGTGGTTACTTCAGCCACTCTTTTCAGTGTGGGAAGAGGGGGGAGGGGGTGACGGAGGGGTGTTGGTGGTGGGAGGTTATGGGCGAGGGGAGGTTGGGGCGGTGGGGGATCGGGGGAAAGGGCGGTGAAGTTGCGGGGAAGGGTGCGCGGCTGGGGAAACGGGAGAGGTGGGGGGAAGGTAGTGGAGGAGCGAGGGTGCGGTGGGGAGGGATGACATGGGAAAAAAAAATTCAATACAACAATATGTTTCCTACTAGAAACAAGCAAACTACGTATAATTTCCTTACCCTTGAAAAATGAACTTTTATGAGAAGGTATTCCTGTACGCTGCAACAGCCGACTCTACCGAGTACAAAGTCGAGGAGTCATAAGAGTTGAAGCGACACCAGCAACCATCAGATCGAGACCGATGCATGCAGAAACATTTGAAGAAAAAAAGGCGGGAACATGTTTGAAATTGTCAGAATATATATAGTTAGTAGTGTCGTATCACCCTATCTTGTCTTTAGGCACTCCCAATGTTATTGAAACCCTCTTCTCTTGGCCAACTCCTTCCCAAAACCCTAGCCTCCTAAATTACTATCTTGACATGTTATCAGAGCCCTACACAGTCTAAGAACCTGATTTATCAGAGCCCTACACAGTCGAAGAACCTGATTTCTTTAAGGATCATAAGGCCACCCTTGCTGCAGCGCGAAATGCGCCTTAATTTTTTTCGTTACCCGTCACGCCCTGTGCCCGTCGCGCTCGTCGCCCTGCACACTGCCCGTTTCGTCGACCCGTGGCCCCCGCGTCGCCCCCCGCCATTTCGTCGCCGCGCAGCCCGAACGTCGCCCCGCGCCGTTTCGTCGCCCCACGGCCTACGATCTACCAGCGCCAGCGCCAGCCCCTGTAACAGCGTACCCCCCCCCCCCGTCCTCCCCTGGCTTCCGAAGTGAATGGGGAGGGGGAGATGTGGGGGTGGCGGGTGTGAACCATCAGTAACCCGTCCCTCCCTTCCCTCTTCCTCTCTTCCTCCAGCACTAGTTGCCATAGGGGAAGGGGGGGTGGGGAGAGGAGAGAGGTTAAGAGGGGATGAAAGAGATTAATGGGAAATGAGAGAGAGAGAGAGAGAGAGAGAGAGAGAGAGAGAGAGAGAGAGAGAGAGAGAGAGAGAGAGAGAGAGAGAGAGAGAGAGAGAGAGAGAGAGAGAGAGAGAGAGAGAGAGAGAGAGAGAGAGAGAGAGAGAGAGAGAGAGAGAGAGATTTGCATGTACTGTTTTCCTTGTCTATTCTCTATCCGTCGTATCTAGGCACCGTCGTTCCTCGTCGCGCACATCCACACGCTCGCATTCTACCGAACCCAACGGTGGGCCCAGCTATCAGCGTGGTGACGTCTGTGCTTCGTGTGACACTAGCTAGACTAGCATGCATTTAAAGGGGGATGTCAAAAAATATTATTCTTATATAATTGCATATGTAGCTAGTACTGTCGTATCACCCTATCTTGTCGATAAATGGTCGAACTCCCTTCACCACCTCCCCTTTCCTATAACTTGTATTCCCAATGTTATTGCAACCCTCTTCTCTTGGCCAACTCTCTCTTCCCAAAACCCTAGCCTCCTAAGCTACTATCTTGATAGAAAGGGGTTCCGGCACCACACGGTTTGAATTTGACGGCAATAAGAGAATGTGCCCCTTGAATGACATGGCTAGCTAGGACAATTTGTTTCCCTCTCTTTTCCTAAATAAACTACCCAAGAAGAACTAGAGGAGGCAGAGAGGGAGATAGAAGCCTGAAAAACCCCACCAAGAGTGGTAGATTTCCTCGGCGACCTCCGCACAACCTACCTTCACCACCCCAATCACCTCAAACCTGGCACTCGAGTTGGACCCGGCTTTACCATGGGAATGAACCTCCAACTCCGCCACGTGACGCCTACGGACCCGTCTCATGCGCTGGCCCATTCGCGCGATTCTCGAAAGAACCACCGCCCCACTCCTCACCATCCCCGACCGCAATTTTCTCGTGCTCTATCTGGCAACAGCACCCGAAGAAGGAGAAACGGAAACAGAATGAAACGCAGAAGAAGACGAAGCAAGACCAAGAGAAGAAGAGGGACCCGTGCTCTACATTCTGTCACCTTCAGACATGATGTTTTTTGTAGCCTCCTCCTCCAGTACCCCAGTCATCAATTGGAGATGCCCAAGTGCCCCCTGTGTCTCCTCCTCCACAACCTTCGCCAGTGGTTGTGTTTTAAACCGATTCGGGGTCCCATCCTGTTGCGATCCGTTACTGGATGTGGCGTTCTCTCTCCTTTTGCTTGACTTTGTCTTCTTCTTCCTTGACGCTAAGCTCTTATGGTGCGTCAAGATCCTTCCACTCCTTGTTCTTTTGGCAATAAACATCGCAGATATCAGGGAGTGGCTGATTCTCCTCGTCATGCGCTGCTTTCGATTCTCCTTCCAGGATCCCACGA